CTTTTTTCATCCCCCCTCAAAGTAAGGGTTGAATTATCTTTCGATCAAAAAAAGAGATGCCATACTTAAAAGAAAATTCGACAAAATCCTAGAACAAGGACTGACAATGCACTTATTTTAAAGGTTAGAGACACGATTCATGTAACAATAGATTGGGAACCACTTGACCAGTACATCATTAGATTGGGCACCAACATAACAATTTTCGTGAAATATCTTTTATGATGACACGTGGCAAGAGGATAGGGATTGAAGGGTCTAGAAACGACGATGCACCTACGTTTTGTCTTCACATGCATGTTGTGCATATCATTTTCTGACCACTCGTAACGTTTTGGCCATGTAAAGTCACATTATGTGGACATTTTCGAAAACCACAAGATATGTGCTGCGTCAGATGTCAATTTATCTTTGCCTTGACAGATTTTTCAAGAAAATTTCTTCTTCGCTTTTTACTTTTTTCGGAACACTGTGGAGCTGTTTGAGCCCATTATTTATAAATTATAATAAAATGAATAGTATTTTTTAAAAAAATGAACGGTTGAAATTTTTTTGATTTACGTTTAATATTATTTTATTAAAGATTGTATGATTAAAAGTAGGAGAGAGAGAAATTTAATTTAATGTAATGAGAAATAATAAGACTAAAACGGGGGCTATATTATTCATCACCATGTAATCTAGAGCGATCCACCACTACTATTAAACATTAAAGAAAAACACTAAACCTCAGTTCGGTATTGATTAAAATTCAAATTTTAATTTAAGTCGAAATCAATAATTAATTTTAACCAAATATTTCATGGATTCCACGACTTTTTAATAACATATTTTATCAAATTTTATTAAAATCTACTAAGAAATTGATTTTAATCTCTATCAAATATGGGCTAAAGTTTTTATCCAAATAAGGATATCCCATGGCATATTCTTTATAAGACAACATGGTGTCCGAAGTGATGTGACTTGAGCTATTCAAAATTTGAAGTGTTATAGTTTGAATATGCGATCTTACCACCCGTGGATATAAAACCATCTCGTTATATATCATTCCCTCTTTAGTGTTAAATTACCAAATTCACGTTTCTTGTAATTCTTCAGCTTCACTTGTGCCTTCTTCGCCTAGTAAAATATAACATCCTAATGTCAACCAACCATGGTCGTAGGTTTGGATCCTACTTGGGTGAGACGAATTCATAATAAAAGGGCTATCTTTATTTACCGCCAACTCAAAGCCTACTTACCATATAATCGATTCGTTACATACACAAATGTGGAATATAAGCACAAAACAATCTGGAAGAAAACATTCAAATCCCAAATGCCATTATTTTGCAAGTCCATGAACGCTAGAGAAATCCTGCAAACGTCAAGCATCACAATAGCAAAAATCTGAGATAGCAGACAAAAAGTGCATACAAGACGAGTATACGGGTGCTATTAACTACAATTAGTACGTTGGCATTCTATTTTTCAATTTTTATAATTTTCTTTTTTTAATAAGCAGTTCTCGCATGTGACGAGATTTAGTAATGTAACAACTAAGAGTTATCACCTGAACAAGAAAAGGTAGATGCATTCTTCTGCTGATCGCCTTGAAGTTGAATAACCTTTAGAAGAAAGTCATGTTTGAATGCGAAAATCGAAATGCAACAAAACAAGAGGAACAGGGACACAAAATACTTCATCCAGAATTGTTCAAAAGCAATACAAACTTGGCCTAGTTCTGGCATTGTAGTGAAACTCTTTCTTCAAGTCCTTGAGTATTTTATTATAGCTGAATTATTTCTTTAATCCCTGCACAGTTGTTAGGCTTTTCCTACCATTCCTCTGTTGTATACGTATATGAATATAGCTAATTTTAATGCTGAGACATAGACAGAAGAACAAAACAACGCTTAGAATGACAACAACCAATCAAACTAGAAATTATCAACAAGAAAAAAAAATTATACGTAAGAAAACTTCACATTGCAGAAGAACATAATTCTAGATTGACTAAAGAGCCCAATGGTTACACCATCTTCTTCTCTCATTCCATGCCTTTAGTAATGAAAGCAAAACACAAATGAACACGCAATTGACATGACACACTACAAAATATGCAAAGGATGAAAAAGTTATAAGTGTTATACTCTAGGTTCAATCAACCTTGGATATAAACGCTTTAAATATATGTAATTGATGTAATTTTATGGCAGATTTATTATTTAATTAATGTTCAACTAAATTAAATAATAGAATCTGTAGATTCAAATCTTGGTAATTTGTTAATCACAAGGATGTGTGATTGTGAGATGTAAATTACATATGATTGAATCTTAAATTATTCGTGGTTGTAAGTAATAACGAGATACGGATATCGTTACTAAGGATAAATCATCACTTGTGGCATTTCTTACTTGTAAAGTAAGTAGCTGATCTTACAAGTTAAAGTGTGGTGACAATTAAATGAATATGTAGATGTTTTGTTATAAAATAAAACATTGGAGACCTGCCGAGAGATTCAACATGGATAACTATCTGAGTATCGGTGGTTAATTTCTAATGTTCGATAGTGAAATTGGTCCTTTGATTTGAGGTCATCATAGTGCCTTATGAGGACAGTCATATTTTAGTAATATTTTTATTCCCCAAGTTGATATTTGGGAAGAAATTAAAGAAGTGGTTATTGGGGATCCTTATATGGAGACTATTGGCCAACTAACCACTGAAAATCCAGTTGTTCCCTATACATAGCGCAACGGATTACTCTCCTTCAAAGGTAAAATCATGGTTCCCAACAAGCCTAGCCTTGGTAAGAAACATCTACACGAAGTCCATGATACGAAGTTGGGTGGCCATTTAGGTGTGCTTCGCACATTCAAGAAATTGGCCCAAAAATTTTATTGGCCTTCCGTGTACAAAACAGTCCAAGAATATGTCAAGAATTGCCAAACTTGCCAACGCACGAAGACGGAAGCATTGGCACCAGCAGGGTTAATTCAACCATTATCCATTCCTTGCCAAGTCTGGGACGATGTGACTCTGGACTTCATTTAAGGGCTGCTAAGATCAAACAACAAGGACACTATTTTTGTCATCGTTGACAATTTAAGTAAGAGTGCACATTTCCTCTCTTTGTCCCACACTTTCACAGCAAAAATGGTCGCAAAGAAATTCGTTGAAGGGGTAGTCAAACTCCACGGCATGACAAAATCAATTGTTAGCAATCGTGATCCAATCTTCATCAGCAAGTTCTGGCAAGAATTTTTTACCATGTCAGGAACCACATTAAAGCTTAGCTCAACTTACCATCCACAAACTAATGGCCAAACTGAGGTTGTCAATCGATGTGTGGAACAATACTTGCAATGCTTTGTTCACCAATGGCCATGAAAATGGAGTGAGTACTTGCTATGCGCTGAATTTTGGTACAACACAACGTACCATGCTTCGATAGGAATGACTCCATTTCAGGCCTTATATGGCCGGTTGCCTCCAACTATTCCACCATATAAAGATGGCCTTTCACCAGTACAAGAAGTAGATTATCAACTCTTAAATCGAGATGAGCTGCCACAACAATTAAAAACTAATCTGTAGGTGGCAATCAATCGGATGAAATAGGCGGCTGATGCAAAACGCCGAGATGTGGTATTTGAAGAAGGCGATGTAGTTTATTTGAAGCTCCATCCTTACCGTCAACAAACAGTTTTTAAACGAGCTCATCAAAAACTTGCAAGTCGTTATTATGGGCCATATCCAGTCCTACAAAAAATTGGCTAGGTCGCATACAAACTCAAGCTTCCAGAAGGGGCAAGAATCCACCCCATTTTTCATGTCTCATTGCTTAAGAAGTACATTGGTAATTCCATTGAGGGAAGCACACAACTTTCACCTATTACAGATAAAGGGGTTTTCATTTTAGAGCCGAAAACAATTCTCGACACACGTTGGATTAAAGAAGGGAAAAGGTTCATAGAAGAAAACTTGGTTAAATGGCATCGCCTGCCATTAGAGGATGCTACATGGGAAAATGTAAAAATGTTACGCCAACAATTTCCTACTTCGAACCTTGAGGACAAGGGTCCACTTTGTGGGGGAAGTATTGTTACACAGCAACGTCATTCGGGAAAAATATCGAAGCCAAACCTCAAGTATGTAGAGTAATCTTGAGCAACAGAACTAGTCCAAGTTGGCTAGTAGAAGAACAAGTCCAAAGTTAGTTTAGCTGTAGGAGAGTCTTTAGCATTTAGTTTTGCATTCTAATTCATGTTTATCTATTTCTGTCATTTACTAGCCGTTGCACTTCTTTTGGCTACAATTCAATGGAAGTAGTTAAACTTGGCTTATTTAAAGCCATGGATGTGAATAAACAATCATCAATAATTTATTCAATTACATCTTGTGGTTTATCTCACCCAACAAGAGAATTTTTTTTTTTTACTGCCACTGATCAACAAGCTTTTGACTGGACCTATCAGGGACGACAAACGTGAGTAGGTGATAAATTAAAAGGGTATTTTAATTTATTAATTTTGATTAGATCAAAATAATAATTCACGTCGTTAGGTATCGTGATTGGGAACCTGATGGGTCACACACAAAAGAAGAACTGGAATATTGTGTTTTACCAATTAATTAATTTAACAAGCGTTGGATAAATTAATTAATTGAGTTACTTATTTATTGTCCTGAATTAATTAATTCATGAACCGGATTTAATTAAATGTGTTAATTAAATCTTGGATTGGGTTAGGAGATCGGCTAAGTTCGTTTGGGTTTGTATAAATAGGTAGGTAGGATTTTGGATCTATAGAGAAAATTCATTCTTCTTGCTAGCACAAGAAGAAAATCATAATCCTACAATTTTATTCTCTGTGTGAATCACCGTTTGCGGCTGGATCCTACAATTTTATTCTCTGTGTGAATCACCGTTTGAAGCCGGATAATTGGAAAGCTGTGAGTGACAAATTGAAGTTGCTGAAATAAAAAAAAAAGTAAAAGTTTGTAGAATTTTTCAAAGGTACAATTTTCTATTACTATTTCTATCTAAATATAGAGAGATTCCTGGTGATAATTGAAATGTGTATTAATTTTCGCTGTTCACGTTTAAGTAGATTCCCAACAAAAGTAAATTTGTTGGAGACTATACACAAAAGTGATGTCCAAATTGCATCAGCTAATATTCAAAATCACTCGAGGGAACGGATGTTGACTTAAATCCATAATTAGTTATACAAACGTTGAGTGTCAGAATATGTGAAGAACAGAGTAAGCTAGTTGGAAACATTACTAATTACACAAGGTCCTGTCCAGATTGTATCAATTCATTCTTCAAAAATCACTTGAGGGAACGGGAACCAACTATAGATGTCGAGTGGCATTATCTATGTTTAACGCTCCCAAAGACATCAGATGTCAAGTGTCATTAGTTAAACTTGACTAAATGGGATTATGAGTCTCCAATGACTGCAATCTCATAAAAAGTCAAAGCAAAAACAATCCTTGTTTGAGCCCCATTTTTTGTGAAGAAATGAATTTTTGAATAGTGTCTTGATGAGAAATGTGTGGTTAAAAAATAAGGAAAATTTTTTGATTTGCATATAATATTATTTTATTGAAAAATATGTGGTTGAAATGATGTCAAATCACTGTTGAAAAATGTAATTTGGTTGAACAATGGGGCTCAAACAAGGGCAATAATATCCCATTATTCCTACATGCTAGAAGCCAATCTTATTTGGAAAAATATATGAGTTCATATCCTATCATTTGCTCATATATCAGCATAGATAAATGTGATTATGATCGTGGTCGTGGCAACTATCTTATCAAACAGCCAAGGAGCATCACGAGGACAATGGCAATGTTTATGAAAAAGTTTTAATCGTCAAGGGAAATCCAATCTAGTCTGTCCTCATCATCGGAAGATGGCCAAACTGAGGTTGTCAATCGATGTGTGGAACAATACTTGCAATGCTTTGTTCACCAATGGCCATGAAAATGGAGTGAGTACTTGCTATGCGCTGAATTTTGGTACAACACAACGTACCATGCTTCGATAGGAATGACTCCATTTCAGGCCTTATATGGCCGGTTGCCTCCAACTATTCCACCATATAAAGATGGCCTTTCACCAGTACAAGAAGTAGATTATCAACTCTTAAATCGAGATGAGCTGCCACAACAATTAAAAACTAATCTGTAGGTGGCAATCAATCGGATGAAATAGGCGGCTGATGCAAAACGCCGAGATGTGGTATTTGAAGAAGGCGATGTAGTTTATTTGAAGCTCCATCCTTACCGTCAACAAACAGTTTTTAAACGAGCTCATCAAAAACTTGCAAGTCGTTATTATGGGCCATATCCAGTCCTACAAAAAATTGGCTAGGTCGCATACAAACTCAAGCTTCCAGAAGGGGCAAGAATCCACCCCATTTTTCATGTCTCATTGCTTAAGAAGTACATTGGTAATTCCATTGAGGGAAGCACACAACTTTCACCTATTACAGATAAAGGGGTTTTCATTTTAGAGCCGAAAACAATTCTCGACACACGTTGGATTAAAGAAGGGAAAAGGTTCATAGAAGAAAACTTGGTTAAATGGCATCGCCTGCCATTAGAGGATGCTACATGGGAAAATGTAAAAATGTTACGCCAACAATTTCCTACTTCGAACCTTGAGGACAAGGGTCCACTTTGTGGGGGAAGTATTGTTACACAGCAACGTCATTCGGGAAAAATATCGAAGCCAAACCTCAAGTATGTAGAGTAATCTTGAGCAACAGAACTAGTCCAAGTTGGCTAGTAGAAGAACAAGTCCAAAGTTTGTTTAGCTGTAGGAGAGTCTTTAGCATTTAGTTTTGCATTCTAATTCATGTTTATCTATTTCTGTCATTTACTAGCCGTTGCACTTCTTTTGGCTACAATTCAATGGAAGTAGTTAAACTTGGCTTATTTAAAGCCATGGATGTGAATAAACAATCATCAATAATTTATTCAATTACATCTTGTGGTTTATCTCACCCAACAAGAGAATTTTTTTTTTTTACTGCCACTGATCAACAAGCTTTTGACTGGACCTATCAGGGACGACAAACGTGAGTAGGTGATAAATTAAAAGGGTATTTTAATTTATTAATTTTGATTAGATCAAAATAATAATTCACGTCGCTAGGTATCGTGATTGGGAACCTGATGGGTCACACACAAAAGAAGAACTGGAATATTGTGTTTTACCAATTAATTAATTTAACAAGCGTTGGATAAATTAATTAATTGAGTTACTTATTTATTGTCCTGAATTAATTAATTCATGAACCGGATTTAATTAAATGTGTTAATTAAATCTTGGATTGGGTTAGGAGATCGGCTAAGTTCGTTTGGGTTTGTATAAATAGGTAGGTAGGATTTTGGATCTATAGAGAAAATTCATTCTTCTTGCTAGCACAAGAAGAAAATCATAATCCTACAATTTTATTCTCTGTGTGAATCACCGTTTGCGGCTGGATCCTACAATTTTATTCTCTGTGTGAATCACCGTTTGAAGCCGGATAATTGGAAAGCTGTGAGTGACAAATTGAAGTTGCTGAAATAAAAAGAAAAGTAAAAGTTTGTAGAATTTTTCAAAGGTACAATTTTCTATTACTATTTCTATCTAAATATAGAGATATTCCTGGTGATAATTGAAATGTGTATTAATTTTCGCTGTTCACGTTTAAGTAGATTCCCAACAAAAGTAAATTTGTTGGAGACTATACACAAAAGTGATGTCCAAATTGCATCAGCTAATATTCAAAATCACTCGAGGGAACGGATGTTGACTTAAATCCATAATTAGTTATACAAACGTTGAGTGTCAGAATATGTGAAGAACAGAGTAAGCTAGTTGGAAACATTACTAATTACACAAGGTCCTGTCCAGATTGTATCAATTCATTCTTCAAAAATCACTTGAGGGAACGGGAACCAACTATATGTTTAACGCTCCCAAAGACATCAGATGTCAAGTGTCATTAGTTAAACTTGACTAAATGGGATTATGAGTCTCCAGTGACTGCAATCTCATAAAAAGTCAAAGCAAAAACAATCCTTGTTTGAGCCCCATTTTTTGTGAAGAAATGAATTTTTGAATAGTGTCTTGATGAGAAATGTGTGGTTAAAAAATAAGGAAAAATTTTTGATTTGCATATAATATTATTTTATTGAAAAATATGTGGTTGAAATGATGTCAAATCACTGTTGAAAAATGTAATTTGGTTGAACAATGGGGCTCAAACAAGGGCAATAATATCCCATTATTCCTACATGCTAGAAGCCAATCTTATTTGGAAAAATATATGAGTTCATATCCTATCATTTGCTCATATATCAGCATAGATAAATGTGATTATGATCGTGGTCGTGGCAACTATCTTATCAAACAGCCAAGGAGCATCACGAGGACAATGGCAATGTTTATGAAAAAGTTCTAATCGTCAAGGGAAATCCAATCTAGTCTGTCCTCATCATCGGAAGAAAAATCCACTATAGTCTTATCGGTAATCAATGATCAATTTCCTACCATGGTACCCTACCATCTACTCAGAAATATATTACTAACTTTGATATCATTATTAATTATCTACAAAAGAAAAAAAAATTATATTGTCAAATTTGGGGTTAGTGATATGAAATGCATTAGCTGTTCACTTCGTATATCGAGAAACATGAGTATTATTTTTAACCAGTAATTAATATAAAAAAAAAACAGATGGAAATTATAAAACCAATAGTCTTATAAACAATATGATATTCCACAGTCACGTCATAAAACAAATAATAAACAATAATTATACATCTATAATCTACGGTCCACGCACAAATTGCCAAAAAGATTCAAGAATCGTCCAATTAGAGGGAAAAATCAAGTACCTGATCCATGGAATTAGGGTCTTGAGGTCGGTGAATTAAGAACGGATCCCAAATCGGATAAGTCCGAAGGAAAGAGAAATAATAGTGACTAATAACGAACTGTTCTACATGATGTGATCCTAAAATGGGGAGCCATCACCTCATTAAGTGGTACACCCTTATCCAATGAGATGAGACTACCTTGAGACTTGAAGTGAAAAGACAGAAAAAACAAAAGTCTCGAAATGGCCTCACCTCATTGGTGAGGATGGACCACCTCATAAGGTAATGGCTCCTCATTCGACGATCACACCATGTACGATGGTGTGATCGCCAAAACAAAGTTTTTCTTATGACATTGGACTAGACATACGGTTTTTAACCTGCTCTAATTTGATCTGGGTTAATTTCAGTTTTGGTCACTAAACTTCCAATAAAATCTCAATTAGGTCACTCAACTTTATTCTTTTTCAATTAGATCACTGAATTTCAATTTACTTTTGATGTTTGTTTAAATCCCAAAATAAATTTAACACCTACAATCCAATTAACATAATATGCTAATAGTAGTTGACAAAATCAAATTTGCAAGCAAATCAAAGTGGAATGACTTTACTCAATGTAGTTAAAGATAAATGACTTGGTTGCAATTCTGTTAAAAATTAAGTGACTCAAAATGCAGTTAACCCCATAATAATTTCAATTCACAGCCCTGATGCCATGAACGACATCTAGCGATTTACCTCCCTCACAAAGTTCTAGGGGCGGACCGTGGGGGCCCTCAAGGTTGGGGTTCAACCCTTATTATTATTATTATTTTTTTTTTTTTATTTGGGGGAAGGCGATTTATATATTTTAGTTCACTGCCAAGCGCTTTCAGAAAGCGTGTTCGTTCATCACTTTCTTCGGCACTCACAGTTAGATCTTCATTTTTACAACTACCCGAAGCAAAAAGTCTAATCTGAATTCTCTCAATGCCTCCCGTCGCTCCAAGGCCCGGCGACGCCATTTTCGCCAGCGTTGAACGCGTGGTAAGTATAATTTCTCAAAATAATCAATCTTAATTTTTTCTGTTTGATTCTGATCGCTGTACCATGTAATTTGGTGAAATCTTGGTCAATTTGTGTTTATAATATTCGCAGAATGTGGAGCTCTTCACTCTGACTTACGGTGCTATAGTGCGTCAGCTTCTCACCGATCTGGAGGAGGTGGAGGAGGTCAACAAACAGCTCGATCAAATGTGATTGATTTTCTTAATTACTTTTATTTCTTATTGTAAGCAATGATTTTGTGAAATTTATCGTAAAAAAAACGTGTCTTGTGATTATTTGATTACCTAAAGTGGTATTTCTTCCTTGAATTTGGAGTACTTGTGTTTGTTGCAGGGGCTATAATATCGGGGTACGGCTAGTGGATGAATTTCTAGCGAAATCTAATGTATCAAGATGCGTTGATTTTAAGGAAACAGCTGAAGTCATTGCCAAGGTGGTGTACTCTTACTATTTATTCTGATTTGTTATTATTCATTTTCATTTTGAATAAAGTTGAGGAATTTCAGCTGTTCTGAATTTTAGATTTCAGTTTTCATCAATACAGAATTTAGACTCCAGTATCAGTGACCTGGAAAATAAGATAAAAGTAAAGATAAATTCCCGTCTGATCCCATCATGTCTTTAAAATCCTTCTTTTAGAGGACAAAATAAAAGATATATTGCCTTTTATATGAGGATCAACTAATGACTTGAAAATAGACTGATAAAGAACGCAATATGAGTGTTCTAATCCCAGTCAATTTTTGTTTATTAAAGAGGAAGTTTAAATCTTTTCGAAAGAAAACATTTTAGGAAGTAAAGAGGATCTAGATCAGTTGCTAGATCAATTGGTGTTGTAACCATCTGCTATTGCACTGTAAGATGACTTCTGAATTAATGGATTTACTGTTTAAATTCTCTGAGTCATGTAGTTGGTTGTATATAAGATACACGTGGGGAACTATGATCCCATCTTATTTTACGTTAATAAAGCCACTTGATTTAGCTGGAAAAAGTGAATAACAATCGCACTTTCTGCACAGGATAATATAGCAACTCCGTCCAAACGAATAACTGCATATTTTCTCAATTAAATAATCCCTGAGAGCTGATAATCTTGAGTAATGTTAAGCACATTTTTAATGAATCCTGAAACGTTCTACCTATCGGCATCAATTGACCATGTCAATGTAGCATTTATCTCCTTACTAGATCATTTCATTATTTGTATAATTCTAAAGTTGAACTGCGACAAGTATCATTTTGGTCTATGCCCATATCCTGTACTAAAACTCTCTTCGTATGGCCTGGGACTGGTATCATTGTGCAATTGAATGCCTGTTTCGGACATAATGTGTATGCTAGGTTGGAAAAAATGTTAACTATTCCTTTTGTCCTTTCAGTAGTTTTTTTCAGTATGAAATTGTTGGGGCAAAAAAGTTTTGGCATTTTGAATTATTGTGTTGTAGCAAATATACTGTCAGTTTAAGTTGATTATGCATTCACTGGCTCTCTCCACTTGGCATTCTATACCACAATATTAGACCAGCATGTTCAGCAGCATAGTTTCATCTCTTATTAAGATAGAAAATCATTTGAGATTGTGTCTTCTGTATTAATTGTCCTTTTGAGCATCTATTTTGAAATGTTTGGTTCATTAAGTACATTATATTAAAATGCCACACGAACAGGTTGGATTCAAAATGTTCTTGGGGGTAACTGCGTCAGTCTCCAACTGGGATGCTGAGGGAACAGCCTGCAGTATAATTTTGGAGGATAATCCTCTAGTAGATTTTGTTGAGCTTCCTGATACCTGTCAAGGTCTATATTATTGCAACATTTTAAGTGGAGTTATCAGAGGAGCTCTTGAGATGGTGAGCTATCCTCCTCTGTGAACATCTTATCCTTACAGTATATGATATTGTTTTTGGAGTGGGAATCTGCCACGCGCATCTTCATAAATTTGTTTATCTCATTATATGATTGAGAATCTGTTTTGATTCTTACAACTGATTGCATAGTGGATGATTCGGAGCTTTCAATTCATACATGTAGATCTTGGACCCATGATATATTCCCAAAACTCACAGAAAAAAAGGAAGTGAGTAGGAAAAAAAAAATAAGCGACTTGGACAGAAAAAATGATGGTTTTGGAGTGGGCATCTGCTACATGCTTATCTGTTTATTTCATTATATGTTTGAGAATTTGTTTTGTTATTGTGAAATTTGCCATTGAATATGTTGGTGGTTGAACTTCTCCCCTATCAAAATTAGTTATTATGATATTAAGCCCCTGTTTGGTAGCAATTTTTCACTCCAAAACAATCAATTTTTTGACCGTTATTTCACTATTTAAGTGGTTATTTTTGACTTCCTCACTCACAAGTGAGACCACTTTTCTCTCTAACGATAAAAAAATCAATTATCATAATCACTAATCGAATAGGCCCTAAAACTTTATTAGGGAGAGAGAGCTGGGAGAGAAGAGAGAAATATGTAACTTATTTTGGCCATAGAAGACGATGTAATCCTTCTGCTTAACAATGCCTCTGGCATTTTCTTATTGTAGTTAATTTGATTGAGACAAATAACTTACCATGTTTCGAATAACGCCTGGGATCATATATAGAGCACAATTGTTACCCTGCTTCGAGTTGACATACAATTCTTCTTTCTTCCTATAGGTGTCAATGAAAACTGAAGTCACATGGCTGCGAGATATGCTTAGAGGAGATGATGCATTTGAGTTGCAGGTGAAACTTCTGAAGCAAGTTCCCGAGGAGTATCCATACAAGGACGACGAGTAACATGCTTCTTTTTCCTTTAGAGATACAATTACAATCTACTATTTTGTGTAATTTTGCTCTTTTTTCATGCAACTCTCAATTCGAATCCCTTTGCCCACAAAGTTTAGTTAATAATACTCGAAAATTTCTTTTATGCTAATTTCAAATGTAGACATTTGGTGGTGTTATTTGTTGGTTTGTTGTCTTGAATGCTTCACGAGTAGATAAAATTATCGCAATACTTGTTTATGATTATCTCAGCACCATCGCTCTACCACCAATTTGATCTTTTATCATTAATATATAATATGTGCGTAACCATATTTATGTAGCATATACTTGCCTAGAAAATGCATAGTGAAATCAAATGTCTGCATTATCGCTTGATTCAATTCAGTTCAAATAAGGAAATTAACTGCTTAAATTGAAGTTTTACCAAGTCATCATTATGGATTTGAGCCTTCCATTGGGAGAGTAAAAATTGAAATGCTAAAGAAAAAAATAAAAAATAAAAAAATAATAAAAAAGAGAGAGAGAGAGTAAGCTTTGCCTCTATTTGGTAGAGATTAAAGTCAGATTGTAATAGATTTTGAAAAAAAATAATGAAATGTATAGTTGAAAAGTTTTAGATTTCATAAAATATCTAACTTCTATTAAAAAGGGAACGAGATGTTATTGTGGATAGAACAGTAAACTAATCCGAAAAAATGACGTCATTTTTTGTACATTTTTTTATTGTTTTCGGCTAGTACCATGTTGTTTCCATTTTTTCACTCCTACAATCATTCCTCTGCTCTTCTTCTGACTTGATGGAGGTGAAAGAAAACCATCGAGAAAATCAAACAACTACTACACCGCCTTTTCTTCATCCTTCTGCGATTTGGGTCGGCACTCCTTCATGTGGGCACTCCTTCTGCGATTTACTGCTTCCAGAAGCATCCGTTAAATTATTGTTTGCTGGATTGTTCATTACTTCTGCTGCTTTTATGGTGGCTTGACTTGTGCATTCACCAGTGGTAAATGAGTAAATGATTCTGTTCTCCATTCATTTATTTATTTCATGTCTTCTTCTATAAAAAATTGCTAATTGAGATAGAGATTTTGGATATCATCTTGTTATTGTAGTTATAAATTGTTGATTGGAGTATGAGTTACAAAGACATTCATGAAGCCTTCTTTTACTAGAAATGAATTTTAAGTTGTGGCTTTATGACAAAATTTCATGTTGTCATCTCTTGGTGTCTTAAATGGAGTTGTAGAATAGAAGAAAGATAAATGGCGTAAAGAAGTAAAGAAAAATAGATATTTTGCAAACAAATAAAGAAAAGTAGAGAAAGAAAAAAATTAACGAGAAAAAAAAAAAGAAAATCTCTCCACACTGCGCGAAGAGATCAATTCTCTCCGCACTGTGCGGAGAGTTTTGCCATGGTGTGGAGAGTTTGCCAACTCTTCGCACATGGTTTGCCATAACTTTTGATCTTACTTTTGGTAAAAATATGTTATAACAATATGTTATAGTTAAGATTTCGTCGTCATTGAAAAAAAATCTCCGAATTGTTCGAAGAGATGGCAAACCATCTCTCTGCATTGTGCCTCCCCACTGTTCGGAGAGATCAATTGATCTCCGAACTGTGCGAAGAGATTTTTTTTAATTTTTTAATCGATATCATTACTTGATAAGTGCATTTCCCTTTTTTTTATATACAACTATGTTTCATTTATTTATATAAAATGCTTTAAAATTAATAATTATTAAGCTAATAAAAAATACACTAAAAAAAGTATACAAATCAAATTTTCTCAAAAAATTAGTAACTAAAAAGTAAACAAAATACATTTACCTATTTTTAATTCCGTCTAATTTACTGATTTAATAATTTAAATAAAAAAAATTACACTTGCTATGTAGAGTCTCGGCACTGTGCGAAGTTCGCACTTGTGCGGAGGCTCCACACAAATCACACAATTTATGCGGAGTCTTCGAACAAGTGAGGACTCCCTTTTTTTTTTTTTTTTATTGAATCATGCAACTAATATTTGTTTACTTTGTTATTTTATTAGTTAAAAATATGTATTAAATCTAATAAAATAAATATAATTACAAGAATAAGTTAAAAAAAAAAAAAAAACTCTCCCACATATGTGTGGGCTCCCCATTTCTAGAGTAATTTGCGGAGACTCCGCACTCCATCCGCATGGGGTATTAAATATAGACTTGAATATCCTTACTCATTAATAGTATGCATAAATACGACCAAAAAATGGAATTAATGAATTATAAACTTGGACAACATAAATTTCTCGATGGAGAATGGAGAAAATAAACGGATATATGGCTACAAGCTTTTGCCAAAAAATATAAATACATCTAACAACGAAAAGTTAATGCACAAGTGAGATGTTTTAAACATGACTCATGAACCACAAAATGGTAAGTCAAAGACCACAATTACAATGCAAAGTGCTAAGTGCTTTTACAAAAAAATAAAGTGTTGGGGGGAAAAGAACACTGAATCACAACTAAAAAGCAATGAGGAATGTTTGGATTTTATCACTTATCAATGTTAAATCATAAACCACTTTGCCCGGACAGAGTGCGGACACTCCACATAGATTGTGCGGAGTGTTCTCACAATCTGTACGAAGACTGCGTCCACTGTGGGGTCTCTGCACAAAATTTTGCAGAGTAAAAAGTTTCTCCCCAAATTTTTTAAAAAATTTAATCATGCAATTAATTTGTTATATTATTAGTTAACATTATGCATTAAATTTAATAAAAAAATATAATTACAACAATATAATACAAAAAAAACTCTCAAAATAATCATTGCAAAAAAAAAAAAAATTAAAAAAAAAAAAAAAAAAAAAAAAAAAAAAAAAAAGTAAAACAAAGAATGATGCCAAAAAAGTTGGCATTATTGTTTGAATGGAAAATGCATTATTGATATACAAAAACTTTTGCAGTCAACAGGTTAAAATATGGATTTATTGTGTGGTGTTAAAATTTTTTTACATATCATAATAAATCTTCTTATTACGCTAATAAATTTAAAATATATATATTTTTAAAAATAGCATAAAAAATCAATTTTATTTTCAACAAAAAAATACATTTAAAAATTAGCAATTTTATAATCACTTTTTTTTTAAATTCCCAAAAATACAATTATGAAAAATGAAAATATTGAATTACAAAAAATCAATATTTGTCGTATTAAAGACAATATGTGCAGTAAATGCGTTATGATGCAAATACGGTATGCTGTAAATACGGTATGATACAAATACAGTATATTGCAAATATGGTATGCTGCATATACGGTATGCTGCATATACGGTAAACTGCGAATACGATATGATATAAATACGGTATGCTATAAATACGAAGTGCTGCAAATACGGTAAGCTGTAAATATGGTATGCGTAAATACGGTTGACATCGTATTTGCAGCTTACCGTATATGCTGCCACCTATCATTTTTGTAGCTTATCGTATTTGAAACCTATCGTATTTGTAGGCAACTTACTGTATTTACAATTTATCGTATATGTTGTATACCATATTTACAACTTACCTTATATACCGATTTTTGCACTTACAAATACCGATAATGCAGAACACCATATAAACCGAATGTCAAAAACAAATTTCAGATGTTTATTTTTTCGACATAAGCATAATTTAAATATTAAAATGTATGAAGCACAAAATATAAACGCATATGAATATACAAGTCGATTTATAATTTTATACTCAATTTTCAATTTTCTAATATTGAATTAGAAATATAATTTTCACATTCAGTTTAATCATATCAACACTATCAAAGAATACATGCAAAATAGTTTGCATATTTTTTATTTAAGTATGAAATATTCAAGTATATTTTTTCTAGAAAACTCAATACTGTTGCAATTATAAAAATAATTTGCAATTATTTTCTTATATCATAGAAATATTTTTAGATATTCTTTCAAAAACATTTCAAAAAATTAAAATTCATACGCTAATAAAAATACGATAAATACAAAATTCGTGCAAAATACGCGATAGTGACTAGTATTATTAAAATTAGTTATTGATGATTAAAATTTTAATTATAATTTCAACCATTGTAAACTTTTCGAAGTGAATGGAAAGATTTTTTTTTGTTCCAGCAGCCATTAAAACAAAAAGAAAATGAGTAGCCAACGTGATTCTCGGAATTCCTTTGCTATTATTGGAAAAATGAACATAAAAAAATACTTTTTGTCAACTCGATCCCGTGGTTGAATTTAATATGCCACTGATTGATACACTGCAAAGCCATATTTCATCGCTCTATATCGCTCCACCGCGAGTAGATTTTCCGGCATGGCGGAAAGCGGCGGAGCTGGGCGTGGCAACTGCTGTTGCAGCTTCATATTCACTTCAGGTTTGACAGCTCTCTTCTTGTGGCTAAGTCTACGTACCTCAAAACCCACTTGCTCCGTACAGAACTTTTTGGTTCCTTCACTCAACAAAACCGACAACTCCACCACCACCAGGAACAACCACACCATTTTCTTTGACATCAAGCTTGATAACGGGATGAAAGACAAAGGCGTACACTATGATACCATAAATTTAACCTTCTTCTATGATCAAAATTATAGCTTTCCTATAGCCACCTACACAGTGCCGGGTTTCTACCAGGGTCACAATAAGCATACTAGCCGGAAAGCGGTGGTGGAGACTAATGGAGTGCCGTGGGAGGCGGCGTTTGAGGCTGTCTCAAATGGGTCCACGGTGGCTTTTAGAGTGGGATTGGCTACTAGAGTGAAGTTCAAGATCTTGGTCTTCTATACCAAGAGACACAGTCTGATTGTGAAGGCGGATATACCGGTTAACGACTTCGGTAAGAAAGTGAATAAGAAAGGTATCAAACTCAAGTCGAACTCACCACATCCGTTGAGCCATAGGCTGAGACTGGAATTTTTGGGGGTTATTTTCATTGCCTTGATAATCTTTTTGCTGTAATTCTTTGCTTAATTCGTTTTCAAGCTTTTGTAGAAGCTAAAACAATTTCTGATCTGTCTAAGAGTGATTTGAATTGCCCATCGTCCTCCATCCTTAGTGATACATTGAAGTTGAACGGCCACAGGCGAGTCAGTTTCCTTCCATATGTCTGATAATTGAAGTCGCCGACTACGCCGAGCAAGTAAAATCCCATCCAAATAGCCCATAACGCACCCTCCAAAATAAGGCATGCTCCATATGATGACGAGAAAGTCCTAATGCATTTTGAGTCTACTAATTTTGTCTTTGACATTGGTACTGCTACTTCAGTTTCATGAATTTTACTATTTTAAATTAGTGTTGGAAGAGCATATATTTTTTTTAGCTTTACAATTGGCTTGACATCTAGTATAACAGTTGTGTGATTTTCTAAAAGTGTATTCTTTTGAAAAGAAAAATAAAAATTTGAAATTAAAGCATGTATATAGTAACCCTTTTGCTTGGAGGTTACCTTTCTGCCTATATCCATAAAAAGAACTGAACTATCAATGTGGAATGTAGTGGAAAATGGAATAATAAGCGAATTTTGGTGTTATAACCGGTGAATTATTAGTGGTTGTTTGGTAGTGCTTATAAGTTGTAACCATGGGTCCTATGGAAGTGCTTATAATAAGTGGGAAGGAAATTGTGGTTCATACGGATGTGTGAATAAAAAGTATATTTGATCAACTTAATTTATAATGTAAGCCTTGCCATACATGGCGTTAGTATAGCTTAATAATGTTGATATGATGGAATTCATAAGGATATCTTGATATGGATGGAAATTTACAATCCAAAATTTTCTTCTGAAGTTTGAAAAATCCAATAATTGGTCTACAGTAGAATAGATGACTTCTTACATTCTTGAAGGCACAATTTACATAGTATGCCAGCTTAAGGAAATCTTCATGCGATTTTGATTTCCTCTATGTTACAAAAGTTCAGGTAGCATAGAGTACAGGCGATGTGTATCTGAGAAATCGACTAGTTTAGATCCAACTGCTTCATTTTACCGTTATAGAGAGCTGCCAACTTGCAGCTTAACAAGCGAGTAATAAGCACCGCTGTTTCCCACTGAGAGTAGATCAGAGTGCGAACCTTGTTCAACAACTTTTCCGTCTTTAATCACAGCAATGGAATTAGATTTCTCTATTGTAGACAATCGATGAGCCACAACAATGCAAGTTCGACCGCCCATCATCTTTTCTAGTGCTTCTTGGACCACTCTTTCTGATACACTATCAAGAGCGCTAGTTGCTTCATCCAGCAGTAGGATTGTAGGGTCCTTCAATATTGCGCGAGCCAGAGCTATTCTTTGTTTCTGGCCTCCAGATAGCTGAACGCCTCTCTCTCCACAGTAAGTCTCGTAACCATCTTCCATCCCACTGTCATCAAGAAAATGAATTAAAAGTTAAGAATAAGTATTTGGTTTAGATTCTCTCTATTTCTCTCTCTGCATTTTTTATAGTTTCATGAAATATTTTATTTCGAAAATAGTGGTATAGATACCATACCTTATAAATTCATGTGCATTAGCAAGTATTGCAGCCTTTCGTATTTCAGATTCTGTTGCATTCTGTTTTCCATAGGCAATGTTCTCATTTATGGTTCCTGCAAAGAGCGTTGGCTCCTGACTGACTAATGCAATGTGTGACCTCAAGGTTCTCAAATTATACTCCTTTATGTCCTTATCATCAATAAACACTGATCCCTTAATTGGATTGTAAAATCTTTCAATGAGTCCAATAATTGTCGATTTCCCTGAACCACTCTGGCCAACTAATGCAACAGTGGTTCCTGATCTGATTTTAAGATTGAGGCCCTTTAAGATCATCTGGTCAGGTCTTGATGGATAAGAAAAGAAAACATTCCTGAGCTCCACACGGCCCCTAATATCATTCTTCACAGCATCAATTTGCCATGAGTTCTCTGGATCAATCTCACTCTTTCTGTCGATGATTGCAAAAACTGAACGAACAGCATTACTTCCTCTCGACAAATCTTTTGTCATGCTTCCTGCTTCAGCAATGGTATATGCCGTGAACAGAAGTGCTAGAAATGCTTGGAAGAGTCGCTCCGGAGATATTAACCCTTGTGTCAGTAACTTCCCTCCATACCAGTAAGCTAATGCTGTAGAAGCTGCTGCAAGGAATTGTGAGCTAAATAGGCCAACACCTGCGAACCAAGATTGTCTGATACTCTCCTTCCTTGGGCTTTCCAGTGTGGCTCTAAAAAGCCCCACTATCCTTCTCTGAGATGAGAATGCAGTTATAGTTCGATGGTTGATGACAGCTTCACTTGCTAGTTGGCTTCCTTCCTTTTGTGCAATTTCAGTTTTTGCAGACATACTCTTCATCAGAATACTCCTTGAATAAAAGCTTCCGATGAGTAAGGGCTGAGCTGCCATCATCACAAGGGCCAGCTGCCATGTCAAAACGAGTCCTAGAGTGTAGGCAAAGACAGCTCCAAAAAATGCTTGAGTCAACAGTGACAAGCGATCTCCAACAAGTGAGCGAACCATGTTGGCTTCTGTTGATATTCGTGCACATATTGCTGCACTTGTGTTTTCACTTTCATCAAACCATCCAATCTCAAAAGTCATGAGTTTTCCCAGCAGCATCTCCCTTACTCTTTTAGTTAACTTTTCTCCCATGACAGCAAAATTGTAGTGCTGCAGAAGGTTGGTGAAGAAGTTGAAAACTCCAAGGCCTATAAATACAAAAGAATACCCTCTTGCATGAGATGTGATGGAGGATTTATCTGTCCTGAAGTAAACCGATATAAGTGCTCCGACGCAATAGGCGTTAATTGGTTGAACAGCTCCTGAGCCGATGGCTCCTAAGCACCCGAGCAAGGCTCTTCCCCATTCAGGTGTGTTCATGCTCAGAAGACGCCACTGTGATGGAGCAGGATGAGCTGATCCATAGAAATCTTCATCATCACTGTCGTATGTGCCCTCGTATTGAAATGAGTACGGAGCAGAGTAGGAGTAGGGTGTACTCCTTGAAAATGCTGGGCTAAATGGGTTCAAAGCTGGAGTGTTTTGTGCACTTGACCTCGCACTCAACGGGCTTGGAGGGATATTCATCTTGTGATGATTTTTTCCTTCAATCAGATGGTTGGAATTACTTGTAGTATCATTTTCAGTTGCTGATTGTTGCAACTGAACCATTTTAAAGTACTCTCCATCTTTCAATTGCATAAGCTCATCGTGGGAACCTGATTCAACAACTCTTCCCGACTGGAGAACCACAATCAAGTTACTCGTCTTGATTGTCGAGAGACGGTGAGCTACAACTATGGTCGTCCTTCCCTTGGATGCCTGGTCTATAGCTTTCTGTACAATTCTTTCAGATTCTGTATCCAGTGCACTTGTGGCTTCATCAAGAAGCAAGATTTTCGGATCCCTTATCAAAGCCCTTGCTATCGCTATGCGTTGTTTTTGTCCTCCTGATAACTGAACTCCAAATTGACCAACCTGGAGATTACCATATCACAAGGAAAATTATTAGACATGCTTAAAATTGGAAAAGAGCATGTACCATTTTGAACCAAATGACAAGGGAAAAGAATTATTGAGCAAGGCACTGGATTATTTACTGCTTTCAGAACTCTTAACAAAAACAGAAAACGGATTTATTGTATTTGGGGATAGAAAGTCTTACTTGAGTTTCATATCCGTCTGGTAGCTTGATAATGAAATCATGTGCATTTGCAGCCTTGGCTGCTTTCTCTACATCCTCTGCAGATGCTTCCTCCTTCCCAAATAATATATTTTCTTTTATAGATGTTGCAAAGAGGATTGGTTCTTGATTAACCAATCCCATTTGGGACCTGAGCCATTTGAGATGAAGCCTCTTTATTTTGTATCCATCCAAGAAAATATCTCCTTCTATAGGGTCATAAAATCTTTGCAGCAGTGAAATGATGGTGGACTTTCCAGAGCCACTACCCCCAACAAGACCAACAGTTTTCCCTGCTGGAACTGTAAGATCCAAGCCTTGCAATATGGGCGTATCTGGTCTTGATGGGTAAGTAAAATGGACACCTTTGAATTCAATTTCTCCTCTCACGTACGATAGAGCTTTTCCCTTCTTATCATCAGAATCTATGGCTGGTTCGCGATCAATCATCTCTGTAATGCGAGTAGCAGCAGCCTTAGATTCCGCAATTGCAGTAAGGTTTGGAAGGGCAGTCAAAATATTTCTGCAAGAAGGAAAAACAGTAAGTTTCCGAGTTTGATATGAAGGATCAAGCTAGCAGATTATTAAAAATCTAAAGATTAATAAAACTCACAATCCTCCCATGAGAACGTTGAATCCGGCTACAAAAATGTCTCCGCCCTTTTCTCCTTTTCTGCTGACCAAAAGAGATCCAACCCAAGCTTGAAATCCCCAGCTAATATAAATAACTCCCATACTCCCCATCATCAATCCTCTTGCAAAACCTTGCTTTATTCCTAATTCCATAGTTTTTTGCAGTGCATGGCTGAACTTCTCAAGGGTTTCATTCTCAGCAACATAGGAATATACCGTCCGGATCGAGGAAATTGCTTGTTCTGCAATTCCACCTGCGACTGCATAAGACTCTATCATCTTCATTGCCACATTCATCATCATCGTTCCAAATCCAAGTCCAGGGACAATGAACATTATGGTGAATGGTATAGCAGCCAAAGTGAGCCTCCATGATAGTGAGAATGCAAATACGAGGCAGAAGATGAAGGATGACATATAGGCTAGGCAGTCAGGTATCTACACACAAAATTCATAATATTTCAAGTTTTGAGTCAACTAAAATGACAAGAGTATAGGAAATAGAATCGTTTTCAGTACTCTTAATGCATGTTCAATAAACAGTACTAGATACAGTATCATAAGGAAGATTTTGAATTAATTTCTTTTTTGATACTGTCAGTACTATCTAAGCCTTCATATTGAGCATTCTATTATTTTAGTTTTTGAGCAAGAAGGTCCTTCAATTTTCTGAAATATAGTAATCAGTTATGTGATTATACTAGATGGCTAGAAACACTGAATTTTCTGTGTCTTGCATTC